TATATATATATATATATATATATATTACGAGATAATCGATTTAACCCATCAATTGTATTGATTACCTCACATATTGAAATATTAATGTGAAAGTTTCACATATTATGAGATTCGATTAAACGTTCGATTTGCTTATCTTTCATATTATCATCCTTTATTTTATATCATTTTATGAAATTATTTTCATAATCTCGTTTGTTACATGCTTAAATATGGATAAGACTGAAAATTCATTTAATTTTCTCTGTCATCAAATTAGAGAATTTCCTTAGAATTGTGGTTGCAATTTCATTGTCAATCATATATTTTTGGTTTATCGGCTGATTTGAAATACTATTGATCTTTGATTCAAATAATCATTCAATTAATCGACTGATTGATTTTATGATAAAACTAAAAAAAAAACTAAGCGCGACGTCAGTACAGAAGCAATCAAGTCTAGTTGCTGGACTCCACTTGTGTCCGAAACGATTATAAAATTAATCAATTGAATTATTAATTTGTGTATACACACACACACACACATGTATATTCCTGTATGCCTTTGTTTATACGCACGTATAGATCAATATATAAGAATAGATGGTTTGATTAAATTTAGGATACTAATTAATACTAGTGAAGATTAATTATTATGTAACCTATTGTTGAAAATTCATTCATTAAAAAAAAGAGTAAAGATAACAATAGAGAGTCCACATTGACACTTGATGAAACCCTAATTCTCTGTGGTGAACGGTAAAAACCCTAATTTCAGCAATTAATGATTTCATAAAAAGTCCCAAATTTAGACTTAAGCCATCGGTTGGCAATGTCTCCGAGGGGAGGAATTCTATTGATTTTTTCACATGATTTTTAATATATATACACACGAATAGAAATTAGACTGTCTACTTGGATTGTCATAACAATACTTACTAGGAATGAATTGTGATTAATAAACATAGAACTTCACAGCATTGACAAACCTATATATGAAAATCTAAAGGAAAATGAACTTTATATGTATATGGATGGATTTAGAATATAAAAATAAATCAAATTAATGTAAATAGCAATCAACAAGATAATGTTCTTTTTTTAAATAAAAAAAAATCCATTATCGTTTTAGTGGTATGTATTACAAATGGAAAGATGATACAAATTAATTCATAGGAAATGACAAAGTTGCATGTCATTGGATTCAAATGAAAAAACAGATATCAGAAAAATCTTAAATCGTAGTAATAGGGTCCTCTCTGAATGTATATATATATGGATTATACGGATTTTTTTTTGTACAACTATATCAGTTTAACCAAATTGTGCAATTTAGTATTTATACGATGCCCAATCATTCTTTATATTTGTTCCCTGCAATAGACAAGAACAACCATCATCATGTACTTTTTGAATTATAGTATAGTGATCGAATATACATAAAATGCACATAAAAATATATATAAAAAAACATGTATAATTCCACGGGAAGCTAAACGAATCTGTTCTTTATAAACAGAACCCGAAACCTCTATATATTTATCCCATGCACTTCTCCCTCACTCTCACTCCCACACAAGGCATATATATATATATATATATATAGCTCGTATAACTTATACATACGTATACTCATTAAGGTCTGTGAATATATACACACACACACACACACATATATCATCATCATGTCTAGCCGAAAGTCTCGTTCAAGACAATCGGGAGCGCCTATGATCACCGAAGAACAAATCAACGATCTCGTCGTGCAGCTCCACCGTCTTGTTCCCGAACTTCGTGACAGAAGAAGCTCCAACAAGGTACTAATTTCTACATTTTCGAAACAACATAATTTCAAACATATTTAATTATAGCCTTAATTTTACAACTATATGGTTTATATATACACCGCATATATATCTTATTTTTGTTTCTAACAATGACCCATGAGCTTATATATATAGAGTATGTATATAAACACACACACACACACACACACGTACATGTTCAACACCTTGCCTCATACACGTAGGGTTGAAACCATAATCATATGCAGACTCCCGTAACTATATATGATTAATAAAGTTCTTGATATGAAGTTTGTTCATGAAATGATCTTATTGGATCGTTCGTTCTTATGTATATATACGTATAGGTTTCTGCGTCGAGGGTGTTGCAAGAGACATGCAGCTACATAAGGAGCTTGCACAAGGAAGTGGATGATCTGAGTGAGCGATTATCGCAGCTTCTTGAAACAGCGGATTCAGCTCAAGCTGCTTTCATCCGGAGTTTGCTTACTCAGTAGAGAAATCATCAACACAGTTCCTGTTTTTTTTTTTTTTTTTTGAAATGTATGTGTTTTGGAGTTTGTGTTTCAGTCAAGTTTTTTTTAGGGTTTTTGCTTTTTTTGTCAGTTGGTGAAGACAGCAAGTTGTTTGTCAGAATTGTCTTTTCTGCTTCAGCAACTATTTTTAATATGAGAATATCTATTGCCTCACAAACCGACTCTCTCTCTCTCTCTCTCTCTCCCTTCATATATATATATATATATATATATATTAAAATCTTGGATGGTCCACGGTTAAACTAATTAAAATGTTACCTATACGATCATAGAATTCCTCAAATTATTATCTCTAACAAATAATTAATTACAATCCAATAATTCTAGCCGATCCCACAAACCTTAATCAAGAGTTCAAACTCATCATAGGTTTCACACGGAATATGCAACTATATATATACAGCAACAGTAGAATGGATTATATATGGAATCATGGTTCGAAAATTATGTCATCACTTCAATAACAAAAAAAAAAAAAAAAATCCTATTGATTTTAGTTACAACCATAAATCTTAGGGACTAACACAATAGCAGCAGAACACAAAGCCCAATTTAAGTTGGGCTTTAGGCCCATTAATGAATAAACTACCACCAAGAGGAACTCGGCCAGCACCCGGGAGCTGTCTAAATCTTAATATAGATCTCATCAGAAAAAGATTGGTAGGAAAAATGAAACCAGATCAGGAAAATCAGGGGAAAAGATCATAAACTCATTATTGATATCAATTTCTCACTACAGAGGCCACTCGGATCAGACAGAGCTTGTTTATTTCTCCCAAAACTCATCTCTTTATTGAAACTGAAACTCTACTGATAACTCTGTGGTCTATCTCCTCTTCAAGTGGATGGAGGAACTTCCCAGCCTTGAGGAACCGGACCGTAGTCGTAGATGACCTCTCTGTGGCATGACCACACTAGCTTTATCGCCTCTGGTGTCCCTATCCCGGCCCCTCTCGGGTCACCCGCCGGTCCAAACCTGATCATATTTTACCAGTCAAATCACAAAGAGGGGAGGATAGAAGATCGAGTTTAAGTCTCACCAGTGATTCTGAGGAGCTCCAGTGGTCCTTGCTCTGAGTCCTGCGTATGTAGTGCCATTCACCGAGTTCCCTATCACTTCCTGCAGAGATTTTTTTGTATACAAAATGTTGGCTAGTTGTTCCATTGTTTTCTCTGGAAATTCTTAAACGGGTATGCGTTTAAGTTTCGGTTTTTCAACTCCAAAGGTAATAACGGGTAATGTATGATAAAGAGCGGAGGAAATCCAAGAAACTCGAACAAGAACGAGGAGTGAGTTTCTAGACAAAGAGATGAGGGTTGCCTGGAGAAAGATGGGATTATTGGAAACGACAGCTGCGGTTAGATGAGCATGCATTCTCTCCAATGCTTCCAGAACCAGAGGCAGTTGATCTGCCTTGTATTCCGTTATAATCTGCAATCAGATGAGCAGTGAAATCACGATACCAAGTGGGTATGAATTCAGTACCAAGCTATCCGATGATAGTTATACCTGAAATGGTCCAAATATTTCCTTGGTAACGAGCTCATAGTATTTATCCTTCAAAATTTCTTCAAGAGGAACATAAACTGCAGTTGGCTGCAGAGCTCCATATATAGAAGGAATAGAATGGTTCTTCAATGGCTTCCCACCAAAGATTAGCTTTGAACCCGGAATATGAAGGAGCTTCTCCATGTGCTCTATCATTGCCTCAGTTGTCACCTGAAAACCCAAAATTCAGACAGAATAACGGGTAAAAAATGAAAAAAAAAACATCTTTTAACTTTACATGCCAGAAAAAAAAACACCACTTTCCCCGATACAGGTGGAGAAAAGAAAGAACTTACAGTAAGGACAGGACCAATGGTCAAGTCTTCCAACTTCCGCCTTTCTGCAAGATCTTTTAACTTGGAAACAAGAGAAGTCTTTGACCAGTTCTGTTCAAACATGTTAAAAAATTGCAAGAAGCTTAAAAGATCCGGGTAGGAAGATCGTTGATTCGGTAACACATATATGATGTCAGAGGATCCAACCTCGTGCATGAACAGCATCGACTGTGCAGAACATTTCTGCCCACTGCATGCATATGCATCCTGGTCACATACCCATGCAACATAATCGATCTGCCATGGATACATCAGTATTCGTTGGCACTTAGATAACAGAGGAGAGGAAATAAAAAAAAATACTGTTTAGAGTAGGAAGTTCATGAAAACCTCCTGAACATCGGGTCCCAGTATTTTCCAATCGAATCCAGCATCTTCGAGTTTGACACGACCCTTAAGGTCAACAGCCAACTTTTCAGCTACTCTCGAGCTACCCGTGAAGAGGGTCATTCTTGGATCCGCCTGCAGAAGTTACACAAATTTGTCCGATATTTGATGATTATTTGCAATTTTTGAAAGAAACAGAGAGCAAAACCAAAGTGAAAAGAATACATCTTTGCAACAAGAAGGCAAGAAACAATGAGATCCAGAAAAGAACTAACCTTTAACAATATCTTGTTCATTGTCTTCCCATCTGAATTTATGAAATCAACATCTTCAACTGGCAAACCGCAATAGTGAAGCAACCGCATCATTTGGTCCATTACAATGCTCACCTATTAAAGCAAAAGAGAGAAAGAGAGAGAGAGATAAGAGTATGTGCTGAAATATATTAAAATGAGAACCAAGCCGAAAAAGGAATCAATCAATAACATCAAAAGAAATTTATATGAACAATTTTCCGGAGAAGACCTTGCTGTCAACTTTTAGAAGTGGTTTGTTGCCCATGTATAATGCTCCCATCAACTGAAGTAACGGAATCTCGAGAGGAAAATTGAACGGTGTGATAATTGTTACCTGCCACAGAAGTCAAAAACTTGAACAAAAGTACATTGGACATCTACTTTTCTAAGAAACGGACCGTAACGTGAAATAAATTACTAAAACCATCACGTTTAGTATTATTTAGATGCATATACAAAATTTTATCTGACTAGAAAACTTCTGGTGCTTCAATTAAGAGTCTAAGAGAATGCCTTACAGGACCATAGGGCCATCGGTAGCCGTGACTTTGTTGCCCGAGATGATTTCCAGGTACTGCAAAAGACCGTGCCAAGAAGCGGACCTAATAGAAATTTGAAAAAGGCGGTACTTAAAAACAGCAAGAAAGTGAAACAAGTTTTGAATTTTTTCAAGAAATTTTGTCTTTCATTATAATCTTAAAACATCTTTGTAATCATAATCAAATCCAGGGTGACCGGAAGAACTGTATATTTCTAGTTCTCAACATCTTTTCCATATGAAGGATCTTGCAGTTACGAATGGAAAACATACCAAAAAAAAAAACGGTGAATGGATTTCATGTACCTGATCACCAGAGAAGTTCTCTAAAAACTTTCGCGTGACATAGACTTCGGCATAGGCTTGCTGATAACTCTTCGGAGAAACTCTCTGTATTAACCGCGAGAAGAAATCTGATACCTGATGCCAATTCAGATATAAAACATATTATAACAGTTGAATCGTAAATCAGCATATTGACATAAATCCAACAACATCACCATTCCAAGTATGTTACCTTTGGTAAGGAAAGCATATGGGCTGCTTTTGCTGAAATGTCTCCATATAAAAGATACCTGAAAGAAACAAAAGATGATAAAATTGTATCCCATACCACAAACAGAATTGATACAAAGGGGAAAAAAGATCACACAACGGATATGATTTGATAACATAAGCCCCTTGAAAGGCCAACAAAAGAGATTAAATATACTGCAATAATGAAGTAAAAAAGGGAGTAAAAATGCATTACAGTATAAAGGGAATTATACCTCTCTGGTGATTTGAAAGGGTTATGCAGACCATGTTTAGAGCACTTTGATAAGCTCTCAACAAATGGCTTCAAAATCAAACACCGGAAAGAATCAAAAGAAAAAAACTAGCATTTAGATGGACAGAATCATACATACAGGTGTCGAAAAAGGGCAAGAATGGAGTTGAATGCTTTCATGCATTTGTTCTTCAAATAGTTTTTTTTGCAGTCATAACACATCTCGAAACAAGGTAGCACCTGAATTCCTGTTTCATCCACCTCTGCAACTTTGATGAATGGTTCGCCGTTTAGAGGATCCACAAGTGTGTTCCAAGTTGAAGAACCAATCCATTTTCCCTGCACTATAGAAAAATAACAACACAAAAGGAACATAAGTTGATAAACTCCACAGCGGGCTGTACCATTTCATAGCTTCTGCTCTCAACCAGAACCTATAGTATATGAACAAGATTTGTTCTTCAATGAAACCAAACAATCAAGCAGATATTACAACTAGACCCACCCAAGTTTTGTACTTCAGCAGGTTTAGCACCCGATATCTCTTCAGCATCTACAGTCGCGAAGGGTAAGGAATGACTAAATCTGCAAGACACAAGAAACCCGATCACAAAGTTAGCAGCAACAGTTCGAAGAACCGACGGAAAATCTGCACGGTGTTTCATTAAAATACACAGTGCGCCTTCTAGAACACGTAAACATGAAGACAACCGATGTATTAACAGTACAACAACAATAACAACATCTTAATCCCAAGTTTATTTGGATCTTTTCTCCGTTCATTTTCGATTTTTGGTCAAGTCCTCCAAAATTTATAAACACACAACCGCAAGTGAGCCTGACTAAACATCCCATCTCTCTTCTAACAGTATCAGAGCAAAAGATTCACTCAGTTGAAACTGACACAAACCACAGATATAATTGATACCAACTTGCCAAAGTTTTGTTTTTTCCGCTCACAATCGATAAGAGAAGACGAAAAGAACTCTTCAGAATCAGCATCTACTCACAGGGAATGGATGAAAGTCCCACTAATTTACGAAAACGACATAATCCATGTGGAGATTCATCAAAACAAAAAAGACCCAGGAACTGAAAAATGATAAATCATGAGAAATTTCGGTCGAATCGTGAACCTGGAGCCGATACAGCTTAAGGGCTTGTTACTCAGAGCCCTAGCTCTGAATACCCTGCCTGCGATCACTCTGTACATTACAATGGGGTTCACGAGAGAGAAATCAGAGGATAGAGAATCAGAGAGACTGCTAGATGGGTCGCTTCTACTCGAAATCTCTGCAGGCAAGTGATCTGGCTTCGAAATATTAAAGACGCGATAAACAAAAAGGAATCACCGTTGAGAACGGGGCACGTAGGCCAAACGGCAGAGCCTTTGATTCCACCCTTTTTTTACAATTATATCTCAACCCCACAACTTATTTAGATTGCAATAAACCCCCTTCCCTTGTTCAAATGTTTCGCTTTAGTTTTACAATGTTCTTGTTTATACCGCTATAGTTCAGATTGGTTCAAAGACCCCCTCCCCCAAAGATGTAAGATTTTCAAGTAAAGTTAAGATTTTGACCGTTGATTTTGTATCTCCATGTCCGTATTCGGATCATCCGTTCGAGGAAAGAACATTCAGCAACTGAAAACTTAGACAAACTGTTTTGGATACACACACAAAAAAAAAAACAATTCAACGAACATTTCAATCCAGAACAAGGAAACATTATATGTTTTTTCACCAAACCGGAGACTTGACAAACCTTTCACCTATACCCCATTTGAATCATCCAAACAAACCAAATTCAGCAGCAGACAGATTTGTTCTTCTTCATTCAAACCTGGATTTCTTCTGCCGTCGGAACAACCTGCAGTGTTACATTCCCCGGTTTCAGGACTATAACAAGTCGTAAGAACCCGATGAGTTATGTAATAATAATAGTAGTTCTACTCACAGAATTTTCTTTGTTCTCCTCTGATGCATTCGTTTGCTCCGGAGATTCACCTTGACCTACAAGCATACACAGAGACTGTTGATATTGAAATTTGTGTTTGTGATGAGAAGTGGTCATGTTAGTCTTTTTACCTTCTGGTTTACTGGCAGGTTTCTTTGTGGATTTCTTTATCTCATTCTTCTCTTCTTGATTTCTCTTGGACCTGAGATTGACGACCCTCTCACCATTCTTCTGAGATCTATCCGCTCGGGTTTCAGTTAGTTTCCGTGAATTTGCGGTGGAAGTGTTCGCCATCTTTCTTGTCCTAACTGATGAGCTGTTCTTAGATAAAGCTTCCTTCTTGTTTGGAGCCTCGTCATCAGAGGACCGAGTCCCTTCGTCCGAGTCTTGAATCTCCGAAACATCCGATTGTTTCACCTTAACGGCATTCAGAGATCTCCGAGCCATTCCCTTTGGGGTATTTTTAACGGAATTTGCCTTGGCGGTTCGTTTGACAGTTGAACTTTGAGAAGCGTCATCTTTAGGGACTTCAGGTGTCATCATGCTCAGGTTTTCTGGTGTGGAAGATGAACTCTGGACATCATTGTTCATTGATACAGTGGTCTCTTCAGGAACGACAGAACAGGTTTCCGAGATCTTCGCATCCTCAAGACCTTCTGAGATATTGTACAACTGACATAGTTCCCTAGTGCAGTCAGCAAGCTCGTCCAGGTTATTGCGGAGAGCGTACAGTTTCAACTCGTCTCCCATCTGCTGAATCGGCTGCAGTTCCAAACACGGAAATGTGAGAACAAAAAAGGTGGAGAAACACACATTTAGGAAGATAACAAGCAAGAACTTGAGTTTGGATTATACCTTACAGCCTGCATGATGGGCAAGTTTAAAGAAACCGAGAGCGATCGAATGCTTTCCCGTGGACTCGGAGAGTTTGATATGCGACAACCAATAAGTAGCCGAAGATAAATCTTCCACCTTTTTCCGATTTGCTGATCTCAATGCATTGGAGACCGGCTTTTCAGTCATGCCTCGGCCATTACCTGACCGTTTTGCTCTGTTTTCTGAAACAGGGGTGAGGCTGCTAAGTGATTTGCAAGCAGAATTCCCCACAGCCTTCGCAGGAATCGAGAACCTTCTGGCTGGCTTAGCAGATCCATAATCCTTAGCAGAAAGATCGAGAGCTGTTGTGCTCTGACTTACAGCGGATGCAACCCGTCCCCTGAGATATATGAACTAATTCTACTGAATCCAAGCAATCAACACAAACCGAACCTCTTTTTTTTGTAAATTACAAGACATGAATCAGGCCAGTTACCAGGTCACATGATGTAATTCAAACTATGTTCAAAGTTAATAATGGCTGAACTCATACATCTGATACGGCGTAAAATTCAAGTCCCGTCAGAGTTATTATCCCTCTATGTGAACTGATACTTTCCCTGCTAGATTACCGTCTAATTTCATCGGCATTAGTTTACCTAATCACCTGTCTCTTTACTGATCAAGATGCAACCCTTACGGACTAATATTAACGTGATGAAGTTAGCTCGAACCCACAATTTATTCGCAATCGAAGTAGCAGAATCCATAATCTCTTTGAACAAAAAAACGATGGAGGTGTAAAAATGGCGATTACCGTACCTCCTGGAACTAGAAGAACTTGAGAATTCTGGAGCAGGAGGCTTCCCTTCCTTCGATTTAAGCGCAGATCTTAGAGGATACCTCAGCTTAGATTTGGTCGTGCTTCCTTCACCATTAGACATAAAAAAAAAAAGTTAGTTCCCTGAAGATCCAAATTTTTAACAAGCTTGAATCGGGGGGAAATAATTCGAATATTGAGAAAAGAAAGTAAAACTCGAAGAGAAGAATACAAGTTTGAACGAAGATTTACCGGAGGCAGGATCCGCTGGTCGGTCCTTCGATTTCTCCATTGACTTTCTTTTCTGCGGAGTGAAACTGCGAAGGTTTGAATTTGGAGAAGACACAATCTAATCAAAATTTCAAAACAAGCATCTTGAAACAGTAACCGCCACACTGCATTGTTTTGTTTTTTCATATAAACCCTCTACTTTTCATTTGCTTCGTTTAGGACCCTTATTTTGACACTTAAAATATCTGCTACCATATTATGATTGCTATTAAACAAGCTTAATTTAATTCCATATTGGCGAGTAATTAGATTGTCTAAACCCAAAATTGAACTATTATTATAAGTCGTAAAATTAAAATTATAATCTAAAAACATTAGATCCGAGATTAAGTTTTTTTAATTTTAATTTATAAGTCAATTAGATTTATAAGGATGGGGAATAAATTAAAGAATTTTAAAACCCGCCAGCCAATATTTCTGGAATATATTCTGGTGTTCGTTCATAAATTTGATGAGAAAGGGGCTTTTTTTGTTAAATATATTTATTCGAGGCAAAAGTAAAAGAATTTCTAAAGGATAGGGGTCTGTTTTGAAAAGAATGCTAAAAATCTAATGCTGTCTTATTAGTGATTAGGTTCTTTTGCCGTTTCCCTGATGAGCGGGAAAGTGGTTGAAGAAGTTATGATGAAAATATGGCGAGAGAGAGTCATTGTGGACCGTCCGATAGAAGATAGCGATAGAGTGTCATTTTGGACCGTCCGATTAAGAAGAAGATAGCGATAGAGTGATTTGAATTTCTGGCAAGGGCTGATTCGTTCACTGTGATAAAATTTTCAAAGAAGAAAAAAAATCTGAAATTGGTTTTCCATAATGGGCTTTTCTTGTTCAATGATAAGTGTCAAAGGCCCATCCATGGGGTTTTATAGGCCCACTATTCATAGTTACGGATTGATAAAAGGGAACCCTAGGGTTTTAAAAATCCTCTCGTCTGTTTGCTCTGAATCGAAATCTTCTCTCCATCGGCATCTCCTCCGGTGGATTCAGGTAAATATGTTTTATATCAGTTATCTTCGTTACGGGTCATAGAAATTGAAGATTATTGCGTGATATGGTGACAGGGATGAAGAGGATCGAAGTCTCTTGTGATTTAGTGGAAGAAATACTTGCTCGAGTGCCGGCGAAGGACTTGTTAAGATTCAGACGTGTTTGCAAACGATGGAAATCGTTGATCCAGGACAAGCAGTTCATCAAAAAGCACGTGTCATATTCCCCCACGAAGTTTCTCTATTGTGCGTATAATTCGTCGGCTAAGAGACACCTCGTCTATGAATACAAGGGAACCAGGATGCTTGACAATAATCATGTGCGGTTATTTCTTCACTGCAACGGACTTATCTGCCTTTGTTTCTGGGGGAAGTATTTGGCTGTCTGGAATCCTGCGCTCAGAGAATTGAGAAAAATAGAGCCTGCAACGATCAAGGGTTCTGCTTTGAACATGATCGGGTTTGGTTATGATCATTCGAACGATGATCATAAGATAGTTTTGCTCACTTACCGGCGCTCCCCGAGTAGACCGCACCATGACTTTGGTCGGGCCGAAGTCATCTCGCTAAAGACCGGTTCAAGGGTCATTGATTATCCGTCGTATGCTTTCGACTCTCATGCCGACCCTGGAGGAGGAACTTTGGTAGGTAACCGTATATTCTGGCTGGTTAAGGATCCAACAAACAAGGATAGCTTTATATTGAGCTTTGATCTCGTGTCACACCAGTTCAATCGCGTGTCATGTCCTTCCACCAATGCCCGAATCGTGGGATATAATCTGTCGGTGATAAGAGGACATCTGTGCGTGGTAGAATACAGAGTGCGTGAGCTATGTATTTGGAGTGGACAGTCTGGCAAAGGCGTGCACTCTTGGAGCAGGTTATTCACCGTGTCGGTAGATGATATCAAATTGCCAGATGGGCATTGGGTTTTTGGCTCACACGTTGTGGAATGTGAGACCAAGGACATGGAATTGCTAGTCAAAGTCTCGAATTGGTTCGAGCAGAAGCAGAAGTTCAAGGTGGTGAGAGTGTCTGCCTTCAACACCAAGGAAAATGTTTTCACAAAGTTGGAAATAGATTATTCTTGCGGTTATATAGCTACAGGTCCTTGTCCATACAAGGAATCCCTCCTATCTGTCCATGGGTAGTCCTGTTTTTCTTGCTTTTCGTTTATTTATAGCCATTTTTTAAATCTCGTGGGATGTTTTTTTTTTTAATCCTTTGCATGAACAAGAACAAAAAAAAAAAAAAGAGGGATATTGAATTATGGTGTTGTGCTGTATCTTATCATTATCTATTGAGTTTTATCCTCGCGTGTATGGTGTGCCTTATTCTATATAGCTGGTTCCTATAAATCAAGATAACCGGTCTAAACCGGAAGAGGGACCATCGCTAAGGAAACTTTGTAAGGGACCAATTGTGCTTTCCTGTACAGTTGACGGAGGGTGAACCGAAAGTCTTGTTGTAGAACAAATTCTCAGACAAGCATTAACAAACAAGGGAACTCTTGTCACATGTCAGGAACGTGCCAAAGGTTCATCCTCTTGAACATCCGCGTCTCATACACCGTCCCCAATGCCCGTCCTGGTTTGGTTCCGTATCCAGCTGCGGTTGATGTGTGGGTCTGCATTCAAAGAGAACCAGAGCTGCTTCAATTCACTGAAAAGCTATAACGTTTACTACCTTCGCCTATAGAACGATGTAGGAAAACCAACCAATTCAACTGAGTGGATCCAGCCCCTGTTGCTCCTAGTCTCTGAACAGGATTCTCAGTCAACATCCTGAAATGGAGACACGGGTGGGAATAACTCTATCACAATAAACACATCTGTGGGCAATCACAACTTTGGTAGGTAAGCAGATTTCTCTTTTTCCACTTGTTAAGATCAAATGCCTGTATATCAGCCAAACATGGAGAGGTAGCTCCTACGGAATGTTATTTATCTTACTTGTCGATCAAATCGTATGCTTCATAAGACAACTCCTCCGGAGCACTAGGCCATGATATATCTCTGTTGATTATATTCTCAAGAATTTGCTGCAATCCATAAAAAAGAATGATGTTCTCTCATATCCAATGAGTATGAGGAAAATGCACCTGTGGTGTTTCAGCATTGAAGGGAGGAGTACCAACGAGCAGCTCGAAAAGAATGACACCCACCGACCACCAATCAGCAGTTTTACCTGAAAAAAGTGTTAAGTCGATGGACACAAGTTACAAGCCAAATCCGATTTCCAAAAGAACACACAAAGTTTAACTCCTTTGTGAATTCCTAACCATGTCCCATTCCAAGAAGTATTTCAGGCGCCAGATAATCAGGAGTTCCAACAACAGAGTGCTTTTTACGAGTATCTTTGCTTGATGAACTGGGAGCTTTTGGTTCATGGCTTGTTAGAAAACCGCTGCTGCCCATGGGAGCACCTGATAAGTCATCTGTGACCATCTTGGCCGATGGGCAAATTGTCTGATTTTAAGTCTCTATGAATGATTTTTACAGAATGCAAATGCTCCAGTGCAAGAACCTGAAAAAAGTGCAGTGATATTTAAACAATGATTCTATCTTGGAGAGAATGATTCTTGTTCAACTACATACCCTTTACTGGAAAAACTATCAGAAACAAATGTGAGGATATATATTACACGGGCTCACAACTTCTGCAATATAGATGCGAGCCATGTCCAGATTTTTCAACAAGGGAAAAAGATTTTCTCCATGACCAGATTAAGATTTTCTCGGCAAGTGAAGGCATAGAAAAACTTGACCCCCGCGCTAAAAACAAGCTCGACAAGAATGACACCCAAAAGAGTTAAGTCGATGGACGAAAAGAATGACAACAAAGGTAATTTGACAGAAATACAGACCTTTATTGGTTTTATTATTTCAAAATCTTCTATAGATGTCCGATCTTTAGCACATGGATTAAGGGGACTTTCCATAAGACTCCGGACAGTATCTTCATCTGATGAGCTCCCTTCGTCCGCAGCTGTACATATTCTGGAGTGCTCTTCCACATGTACTACGACTGGTATTTCAACCTCGCAGATGCGACAAGTCATGGAATTATCATAAGTCACACATTGATGGTCAGCCCAGAAATCCCCACGCAGCATTTCTGCCAGAGGATGTGTTCAGGATGTTCATCACCATGAACTTTTGGTTCAGTTTTATTCTCCGCCTTACCCTTGGCAGGTGTGCCAACATTATCACCTTTACCGTTTTTCTCAGCAGCTAACGGAAGTTTCTTCCGTGATGACATCCGGTAGCTACTTGAAGTTGAATCAGTGCTTCTAGCAGTATTTACTTCCATCCCATCTGTTTTACAGCTTGTTAAATTCTGATCAGGATGGTCTTGTTGATCAGATAGATTTTGTTTTTTCACTCTTCTTCTACTTTCCATCAGTTTCACTCTCTCTATTAAGCTCTTGCTGTTGCACAATTTCTAAAAACCCTGTTCTGGGTAAACACCAAGATCACTTAACTGGTGCATGCCCAGGATGTGCTCTTCGGCATAACCACTCGCTTTTTGAAATTGCACAAGCCTATTGCAATGAGTGAGGATAAAAAGAAGACGATTATGAGCCTGTTTGAGGACCCCCATTGGTAGCCACTGAAGATTTAGTCACGTTTTATAACATACCGGCTGCTAGACCATCCATCAGTTCCGCACTGAACACCCAATTATGCCCCTCTTCTTCGTCATCTTCTAAAAGAATCTGCACATTTGGTTCTGAACTTAAAATCTGTATGAAAGTGGCTTCCTTTTTAGTATTATGCTTTTCAGAAGCTGAAAATCAATAGAAATGTCAACTCGGTTTTCGCCCTAATGTCTGCTGTTGTTTCCGTGTTTGCTAAAAGAATGTAGTTTTTTTCTTTGTCTGTGTTTATCCTTTTAGGAAGATTATGACCATTTTTTTTTTCATTTTTGGAGTAATTCTGCTTGTGGTATTTAGCAAGTGCTGTAGCTATTGTTTGGACTTGTTTATGGGTAATCGATTCTCGTGTTTTTGTTTGCTTTTTTGAGATGAGTAGACTAAGCTCCGCTGCTCCTGCGAGGACACTGTCTAGTGTCTACTAAGGGGGCCTTAGAATCTGTCTTTAGGTAAATAGACAACTAGCTCTTGACAAAACATAGGGATCATGACGGAACTTGTGGCACTTCATCGGAGAAATGATACTGGCCTGTGTATGTCTAATGTCTGCCTGATGCACGCACGATCTATCTTTTGACCATTTCTGTGCAGTTATATACCTGTTTATCCCATTTGTCTCGTTCTTACTAGTTTTCATCTTTTTAACCGTACCTGTTTTATCGTGAAGATTGAAGTTGGAGAAGATGAGGATGCTCCGGAGCCGGATTCAGAATCTACCGAAATTGTGGACTTGTCAAAGACAAGAGAGGTGAGGCTTGTTCCGTCGGATGCCAGCCAATGTGAGTTTACAACTGTTCTATACACCAAGCATAAAGTTAGTCGATAGTTTTGGTTGTATTTAACTCGATGGAAGTTTCTAATCTTTGCTGACAGTGGATACTCTGTTTGAGCTGAACCCTGAACCAGTTGAAGGTAGGTCAAACACATTCTCCTGTTATCTCATATAACTTGAATTCTTAACATGATAGAAATAGTAAACACCAATCTGCCTTTATGCTTTCAACCCAATAAATATGCAGAAGGGTTGAAAGCATTCGATCTCTCTCGGTTTCTTTAAACTTGCCCATCAAGCAGGCTGTGAGGTATAATCGAAACTCAAGGTCTTCCTCGTTATCTTCCAAAATGTGTGTTTCTCCAGCTTTTGTGTTCTCACATTTCCGTGTTGAAGATCTTAAGGAGGTGAAGATCTCGGAAACCTGTTCTGTCGTTCCTGAAGAGACCACTGTATCAATGAACAATGATATCCAGAGTTCATCTTCCACACCAGAAAACCCGAGCATGATGACACCTGAAGTCCCCAAAGATGACGCTTCTCAAAGTTCAACTGTCAAACGAACAACCAAGGCGAATTCCGTTAAAAATACCCCGAAGGGAATGGCTCGGAGATCTCTGAATGCCGTTAAGGTGAAGCAATCGAATGTTTCGGAGATTGAAGACTCGGATGAAAGGACTCGGTCCTCTGATGACGGGGCTCCAAACAAGAAGGAAGCTTTATCTAAGAACAGCTCATCAGTTAGGACAAGAAAGATGGCGAACACTTCCACCGCAAATTCACGGAAACTAACTGAAACCCGGGCGGATAGATCTCAGAAGAAGGGTGAGAGGGTCGTCAATCTCAGGTCCAAGAGAAATCAAGAAGAGAAGAATGAGATAAAGAAATCCACAAAGAAACATGCCAGTAAACCAGAAGGTAAAAAGACTAACATGACCACTTCTCATCACAAACACAAATTTCAATATCAACAGTCTCTGTATATGCTTGTAGGTCAAGGTGGATCTCCGGAGCAAACAAATGCATCAGAAGAGAACAAAGAAAATTCTGTGAGTAGAACTACTATTATTATTACATAACTCATCGGGTTCTTATGACTTGTTATAGTCCTGAAACCGGGGAATGTAACACTGCAGGTTGTTCCGACGGCAGAAGAAATCCAGGTTTGAATGAAGAAGAACAAATACGTCTGCTGCTGAATTTGGTTGGTTTGGATGATTCAAATGGGGTATAGGTGAAAGGTTTGTCAAGTCTCCGGTTTGGTGAAAAAACATATAATGTTTCCTAGTTCTGGATTGAAATGTTCGTTGAATTGTTTTTTTTTTTTGTGTGTGTATCCAAAACAGTTTGTCTAAGTTTTCAGTTGCTGAATGTTCTTTCCTCGAACCGATGATCCGAATACAGACATGGAGATACAAAATCAACGGTCAAAATCTTAACTTTACTTGAAAATCTTACATCTTTGGGGAGGGGGTCTTTGAACCAATCAGAACTATAGCGGTATAAACAAGAACATTGTAAAACTAAAGCGAAACATTTGAACAAAGCGAGGGGGGTTTATTGTAAGCAAAATAAGTTATGGGGTTGAGATATAATTGTAAAAAAAGGGGGAATCAAAGGCTCTGCCATTTGAGCTGCGTGTCCCATTTTCAACGGTGGTTCCTTTTTGGTTATCGCGTCTTTAATGGTTGTTTGTTTATTAGATTTGGCTGTTTCGATTTATTCACAAAAATTAATCAGCGAATATTTCGAAGCCAGATCACTTGCCCGCAGAGATTTTGAGTAGAAGCGACCCATCTAACAATCTCTCTGATTTTCTATCGCTCTGATTTCTCTCTCGTGAATCCCACTGTAATGTACAGAGTGATCGCAGGCAGAGTATTGAGAGCTAGGGCTCCGAGTAACAAGCCCTTAAGCTGTATCGGCTCCAGGTTCACGATTCGACCGAAATTTCTCATGATTTATCATTTTGAGTTTCTGGGTCTTTTTTGTTTTGCTGAATCTTCACACGGATTATGTTGTTTGCGTAAATTAGTGGGGCTTTCATCCATTCCCTGTGAATAGATGCTGATTCTGAAGAGTTCTTTTCGTCTTCTCGTATCGATTGTGAGCGGAAAAAACAAAACTTTGGCAAGTTGGTATCAGTTATATCTGTGGTTTGTGTCAGTTTCAACTGAGTGAATCTTTCAAGATGATAGATTCTTCTGAGTTCCCGTCTTTAAGCGTATTCGATTAACAGAGCGGAAATACAAGTTAATTGATCATAGGTATCTATCGATGTTTGGCTGGATCTTCTCTGATTATGAGCTCTGTTGTGATTTTTGCTCTGATACTGTTATAAGAGAGATAGGGTGCTAAGTTTTCAGTTGCTGAATGTTTCTTTCCTCGAACCGATGATCCGAATACCGACATGGAGATACAAAATCAATGATGCTTTGCGTATCCCACGAAATCAATTCCTTAAATACAGACGGAAATTCTGATTGGTCTCGCGAGATAGATAGAACAGAATGAGATTTTATGCTGTTTAGCTCCTTCGAGCATCATTACCAGATGTCGTTGTTGTTGTCCGAACAATCAGAGGTGGATTCGATTTCACTTACATAGACCAAGTGATTTGATTTAAGACAAGCTGGATAAACGTAATTCCCAGTTTAGAAAGGGCATATCGTTGAGTTGTTTTGGTTTTGATTTGAGAAATCCGGATCATGGATGATGGTCTAATGCTTTCAAGTCTCTTTTTTTTTGGATGTTGTAGCATTAGGTGTGTTGAAGATGATGCCTTGTTCAAAGAGGAGAAAGAAAGCAAAGGCAATTGCGCAGCAGTAAGAATCAAACTCAATCGTGGAGGTGACGTCTCTCCGTTGCCTGGTCGACGGGTTCCACACAACTACTATATGATAAAACAACCGTAAGCAGAACAATCCATCACAGTGTAAGAGCAGAAGAAGATGTTTTCTTTCTTGGTGTATTAAGGCTCCATTTCCATTGCTGTCATATTCATAAAAACTCTCGATGATGTGTGGTCCAGTATCTTCATTCAATTGCTGGATGAGAATTTTTTTTGCAGCAAACATCTTGTGTTTCTTCCTAAACCAGGGCTCACGGAAGAGAGAACTCCACCCCTTGCACACATAGTTGAAGCGACACAGGTCCTTGCAGGAGAGTCTCACCAATATTTCCTCCACCGAATCGAACGGAGGACCAATCGCGTCCACCGCTTCAGAGGGAGTACCAATATCGTCCACTGCTTCGGACGGAGGAACAATCTCGTCCACCGCTTCAGATGGAGAACCAATCTCATCCACCGCTGCAGAAGGACCAATCTCGTCCACCGCTTCAGACAGAGGAACAACCTGTTTCGATTTCTCGGACGCCATTCCTGAAGAAACATAGCTCTGCTACAATGGAGGAAACGAGAGAATGGGGATTTCTGTGTATTGATCGATTGTGCTACAAAGCAGGAAACTGTAAAATAACTAACTTTAACAAACTCTGTATCCATCCAGTTCATCTTCTCTACTCGTGTTCTTCACTTATCGAACCCTCTATACCGAGCAGTGTGTTATAATATAGGGTTTTTTTTAAAGTGTTGTTTTCCCCGGGAAACAAGAGCAGGAGCTCTTTGTTTTTTTCTTTGGATTGAAGATTAGGAGCTCTTGGGTTTGTGTCGATTTGGCCATGCGATTTAGTGAAAGGGCCCGTGTTGTGTAATTTTTATTATTAATAGATGAGAGTATATTTTCTGTTTTATAATACTCTTATCTATTAATAATAAAAATTACACAACACGGGCCCTTTCACTAAATCGCATAACCCAATCGACACAAACGCAAGAGCTCCTAATCTTCAATCCAAAGAAAAAAAACAAAGAGCTCCTGCTCTTGTTTCCCGGGAAAAACAACACTTGAAAAAAAAACCCTATATTGTAACACTCTGTTCGGTATAGAGGGTTCGATAAGTGAAGAACACGAGTAGAGAAGATGAACTGGATGGATACAGAGTTTGTTAAAGTTAGTTATTTTACAGTTTCCTGCTTTGTAGCACAATCGATCAATACACAGAAATCCCCATTCTCTCGTTTCCTCCATTGTAGCAGAGCTCTGTTTCTTCAGGAATGGCGGCTGAGAAATCGAAACAGGTTGTTCCTCCGTCCGAAGCGGTGGACGAGATTGGTCCTTCTGCACAGTGGATGAGATTGGTTCTCCATCTGAAGCGGTGGACGAGATTGTTCCTCCGTCTGAAGCAGTGGACGATATTGGTACTCTCTCTGAAGCGGTGGACGCGATTGGTCCTCCGTTCGATTCAGTGGAGGAAATATTGGTGAGACTCTCCCAAGGACCTGTGTCGCTTCAACTGTGTATGCAATGGGTGGAGTTCTCTCTTCCGTGAGCCCTGGTTTAGGAAGAAACACAAGATGTTTGCTGCAAAAAAATTCTCATCCAGCAGTTGAATGAAGATACTAGGGGTGGACACTTCGGTTCGGGAATTTAGTACCGTCCCGAAACCGAACCGAATAACGTTTGGTTCTAATTTGGTACACTTTTTATGGAACCGAATGAACCGTTCCCGAACCGAACCGTATAAATACCGAACCGTATGAATACCGAACCAAAATTCGAATATTCCACTAATATATGTGTAAATATTATAGTTCGGTACTTATTTGGTATTCATATAATGGTACCGTTCCGAACCTATACTAAAACCGAACCGTTTAACATTCGGTTCTAGTTTGGTACACTTTTTATAAAACCGAAAATATCGTTCCCGAACCGAACCGCTTGAATACCGAACCGAAACCTGAAACGTCCACCCCTAGAAGATACTGGACCACAAATCATCGAGAGTTTTTATGAATATGACAGCAATGGAAATGGAGCCTTAATACACCAAGAAAGAAAACATCTTCTGCTCTTACACTGTGATGGATTGTTATGCTTACGGTTGTTTCATCATACAGTAGTTGTGTGGAACCCTCGACCATGCAACGGAGAGACGTCACCTCCACGATTGAGTTTGATTCTTACTGCTGCGCAATTGGCTTTGCTTTCTTTCTCCTCTTTGAACAGGGCATCTTCAGCACACCCAATGCTACAACATCCAAAAAAAAGAGACTTGAAAGAATTAGACCATCATCCTTGATCCAGATTTCTCAAATCAAAACCAAAACAACTCAACGATATGCCCTTTCTAAACTGGGAATTACGTTTATCCAGCTTGTCTTAAATCGAATCACTTGGTCTATGTAAGTGAAATCGAATCCACCTCCGATTGTTCTGACAACAACAACGACATCTGGTAATGATGCTCGAAGGAGCTAAACAGTGTAAAATCTCATTTCGTTCTATCTATCTCGCGAGACCAATCAGAAATTTCGTCTGTATTTAAGGAACTGATTTCGTCGGATACGCAAGGTGTCATCGATTTTGACCGTTGATTTTGTATCTCCATGTCGGTATTCTGATCATCGGTTTGAGGAAAGAACATTCAGCAACTGAAAACTTAGACAAACTGTTTTGGATATACACACACAAAAAAACAATTCAACAAACATTTCAATCCAGAACAAGGAAACATTATATGTTTTTTCACCAAACCGGAGACTTGACAAACCTTTCACCTATACCCCATTCGACAAATCATCCAAACCAACCAAATTCAGTAGCAGACAGATTTGTTCTTCTTCATTCAAATCTGGATTTCTTCTGCCGTCCGAACAACCTGCAGTGTTACAATCCCCGGTTTCAGAACTATAACTAGTCGTAAGAACCCGGTGAGTTATGTAATAATAATAGTAGTTCTACTCACAGAATTTTCTTTGTTCTCCTCTGATGCATTCGTTTGCTCCGGAGAATCACCTTGACCTACAAACATACACAGAGACAGTGTTGATATTGAAATTTGTGTTTGTGATGAGATGTGGTCGTGTTAATCTTTTTACCTTCTGGTTTACTGGCATGTTTCTTCGTGGATTTCTTTATCTCATTCTTCTCTTCTTGATTTCTCTTGGACCTGAGATTGATGACCCTCTCACCCTTCTTTTGAGATCTATCCGCTCGGGTTTCAGTTAGTTTCCGTGAATTTGGGGTGGAAGTGTTCGCCATCTTTCTTGTCCTAACTGATGAGCTGTTCTTAGATAAAGCTTCCTTCTTGTTTGGAGCCCTGTCATCAGAGGACCGAGTCCCTTCGTCCGAGTCTTGAATCTCCGAAACATCTGATTGTTTCACCTTAACGGCATTCAGAGATCTCCGAGCCATTCCCTTCGGGATATTTTTAACGGAATTTGCCTTGGCGGTTCGTTTGACAGTTGAACTTTGAGAAGCGTCATCTTTAGGGACTTCAGGTGTCATCATGCTCAGGTTTTCTGGTGTGGAAGATGAACTCTGGGCATCATTGTTCATTGATACAGTGGTCTCTTCAGGAACAACAGAACATGTTTCCGAGATCTTCACCTCCTCAAGACCTTCTGAGATATTATACAACTGACATAGTTCCCTCGTGCAGTCAGCAAGCTCGTCCAGGTTATTGCGGCGAGCGTACAGTTTCAACTCGTCTCCCAACCGCTGAATCGGCTGCAGTTCCAAACACGGAAATGTGAGAACACAAAAGCTAGAGAAACACACATTTTGGAAGATAACGAGGAAGATCTTGAGTTTCGATTATACCTCACAGCCTGCTTGATGGGCAAGTTTAAAGAAACCGAGAGAGATCGAATGCTTTCCCGTGGACTCAGAGAGTTTGATATGCGACAACCAATAAGTAGCCGAAGACAAATCTTCCACCTTTTTCCGATTTGCTGATCTCAGTGCACTGGAGACCTGCTTTTCAGTCATGCCTCGGCCATTGCCTGACCGTTTTGCTCTGTTTTCTGAAACAGGGGTGAGGCTGCTAAGTGATTTGCTAGCAGAATTCCCCACAGCCTTCGCAGGAATCGAGAACCTTCTGGCTGGCTTAGCAGATCCATAATCCTTAGCAGAAAGATCGAGAGCTGTTGTGCTCTGACTTACAGCAGATGCAACCCGTCCCCTGAGATATATGAACTAATTCTACTGAATCCAAGCAATCAACACAAATTGAACCTCTTTTGTTTTGTAAATTATAAGACATGAATCAGGCCAGTTACCAGGTTACAGGATGTAATTCAAACTATGTTCAAAGTTAATAATGGTTGCACTCATACATCTGATACGGCGTAAAAGTCCCATCAGAGTTATTATCCCTCTATGTGAACTGATACTTTCCCTGCTAGATTATCGTCTAATTTCATCGGCATTAGTCTAATCACCTGTCTCTTTACTGATCAAGATGCAACCCTTACGGATTTAACCAAAAAAAAAAAAAAAAAACCCTTACGGACTAATATTAATGTGATGAAGTTAGCTCGAACCCACAATTTATTCGCAATCGAAGTTGCAGAATCCATAATCTCTTTGAACAAAAAAAACGACGGAGGTGTAAAAATGGCGATTACCGTACCTCCTGGAACTAGAAGAACCTGAGAATTCTGGAGCAGGAGGCTTCCCTTCCTTCGATTTAAGCGCAGATCTTAGAGGATACCTCAGCTTCGATTTGGTCGTGTTTCCTTCACCACTCAAAAAAAAAAGTTACTTCCCTGAAGATCCGATTTTTTTTACAAGTTTGAATCGGGGGAAACAACTCGAATAATGAGGAAAGAAAGTAAAACTCGAAGAAAAGAAGACAAGTTTGAACGAAGATTTACCGGAAGTTTTTTTTTTAAAAAAAAAAGAAGATTTACCGGAAGCAGATTCCGCTGGTCGGTCCTTCGATTTCTCCATTGATGAACTCAAGAAATGCGCTTCCTTTCTTTTCTGCGGAGTGAAACTGCGAAGGTTTGAATGTGGAGAAGAAAAGCTGAGAAATCCGATTTTATAAACAAGACAATCTAATCAAAATTTCAAAACAAGCATCTTGAAACAGTAACCGCCACACTGCATTGTTTTCTTTTTTCATATAAACCCTCTACTTTTCATTTCCTTCGTTTAGGACCCTTATTTTGACATTTAAAATATCTGCCACCATATTATGATTGCTATTAAATAAGCTTAATTCAATTCCATATTGGTGAGTAATTAGATTGTCTAAACCCAAAATTGAACTATTATTATAAGTCATAAAATTAACATTATAATCTAAAAATATTAGATTTGAGATTAAGTTTTTTAATTTAGATTTATAATTCAATTAAATTTATAACGATGGGGAATAAATTAAAGAATTTTAAAACCCGCCAGCCAATATTTCTGAATATATTCTGGTGTTCGTTCATAAATTTGATGAGAAAGGGGCGTTTTTTGTTAAATATATTTATTCGAGGAAAAAGTAAAAGAATTTCTAAAGGATAGGGGTCTGTTTTAAAAAGAATGCTAAAAATCTAATGCTGTCTTATTAGTAATTAGGTTCTTTTGCCGTTTCCCTGATGAGCGGGAAAGTAGTTGAAGAAGTTATGATGAAAATATGGCGAGAGAGAGTCATTGTGGACCGTCCGATAGAAGATAGCGACAGAGTGTCATTATGGACCGTCCGATTAAGAAGAAGACCACCCCTTTCTCCAGACGCTCCAGGCCGTTGGGTCTCTTTATCTTTTTTTTTTTTTTTTTTTTTTTTTTTTTCTGTGAGGACCATTTTGTAGCATACCATGTTATTACGATTACGATGTGTATGATTTAAATAATATAATATTTATAAATACGATGTGTGTGTACATATATATGAAATGTGTACGCATCGACGGAAGGTAGGTCGGTGGATACCGTTTAGGAATTGACTTTATCTCTACGCCAATGACGACACGTAGTATGCATTGTCCTTTTTGCACGCGCTGTTCGTCCTTTTAACGGCCAAGATCGGGGCCCATAACATAATTTACACGTGGCGACCGCACAGTGCGTCACATTATTGGGCTTTGTTTGGGCCCATAAATTAATATACTGGAATTTTATGGGGCCACTAAGGCCTTGTTGGGCCGTGGTTAATTAAAAAATTTTGGGATTTTTCCTTTCGAATTTTATAATTTAAAAACTATAATAAAATCCAATCAAAATTTTATATATTTATTTTTTCTAAAAACTCTGAAATTCATTTTATTGAAAAAATTAATTAAAACCCATAAAACCATTTTTTTTTTTGGGTTTTCACATTTTATAGAAACTGTAAAAACTATGAAAACCAAAATAAAAAACTAAAAACCAAAAACTAAAGTAAAACAATTTTAAAAAAATATAAATCACAATTCATAGTCAAAGATCTCGATAATGCATGTAGGATGGCATATAAGCAGGAATTAATTACAGTCGTATACATGTATAATTCACGTATATAAATATGTATATTTTGACTATATATGTATAACCACAAAATGGGACAACTCATAAAAATTTTCACGTAAAAAATATGGAAGATGTAAGAAGTTGCATTGAGGATGCCAATGAGAAAAAGAACCTGAGTGATTAAAAGTATAAATGTGAAAATGAAATTATTTGCATATTTAATTTAGAAGTTTTTTTTATAATAGTTAATTTAGAAGTTAGAAGAATGGAAGAGTATATTTGTGTACGGTGTTTATTGTAGACTGATGACCATATGGCTCCATCTAAAAGTTCCCATACATACATACATACATACATACATACATACATACATACATACATACATACATACATACATACATACATACATACATTTTTTTGGTATGAACATACATACACATATTCAAGCATCTTCTTAATTGTTTTTTTTTTTACAAATTGATATAAAAAAAATACGAAATGTTCAAAGTTTACCATTCAGGAAAAAAAACAACAACAAATGACTGTAAACTAGTAACTACAGTTGAATTATGAAATTTATTGAAAGTTTCCACAGTCCACAGCTTGACCACATGGATAGTATATGATATTCGTTGAGAGAATCATTTATAATACTATTAGATAGCGGCATCGATCTTTGCAAATGGATTTTTTTTTTATATAAATAAAAATAAAATTATTTTTATTTTTAAAAAATAGAATATTTTTTTAAAACGCTGTTTTGTCTTTTTAAATTGATCGTGTTATGTGTATGGCTTCTTGTCCAAGTAATTGCCGCATGGGAAAGTTTGGTAGGCTTTGACCAGCCAATATCTTATAACAAAGTTCACAATCAACCAAAGTAACCATCCGAGCAAATAGATTTGCAAAAAATCAAATAACGAACATCTTTTATTATAATATATGTTATCTCATATATTTAATTGGTAATATGGATATATTCTATTGAAATGATCGTATATAACTGTGCGTATGGGTTATATTATAGCTTTCTAATGTATGTGAAACTTTGAATTCAATTAAGAAAAATGAGATTAATAATTCGGTTAAAATCTTATAGATATTGGTTCAAAGGAAATAATTTTTTTTTAATAAGAAAAAGGAAATAAATTCGTTCATTCTTTCTTAATAATTAATCCATAGATTAAGTTTTCCATATCTTAATGCGTTGACCTCTCCGAGTCCTCCTTTGGGAGAAATTACACGGAAAAGTTACGTATCTAATAATAGTAATAATTGTCGATATGGTCATGGTACAAAAAATATTACCTATTTCGTCTAAATAATAATAATGATAATAATAATAGAAAATAGAAAAATCGCGGTGTGTTCACATTGGATGACGCAAGAGATGACGCGTGATTCACGGCATATTAAGTAATAATATTCAGAAGCTGAGTGGATTTCGGGACATTAGTGCTCTGTCGCAACTTCTTGTAAACCTCTTAGAATTTCCTGTCTTTGTCGCTTTCTTCGCAAATCTTCATTTACTGCTTTGACCGGACATGTACATGCATCATACGCATTTGCTCACACACAAACACATATACGTATATATATATAACTGTGTGTGTATATATGTATAGTTTTGCAAATCAGTTTGGAATAAAATGCTTGACCAAGCCCCACCATATATTATAAAGTTTGTTATATATATATATATGTACGTATGTATATAACTTTTGCCTTGTTAATTATAAAACATGGTTATTTATGAAAAACATTATATATATATATATATATATTATTTATGTTATGAACCTACGATTTAAGTACCAAAAGATTGTTTTGATTTTACTCAACAGTTGATGACAAAATGATTGGTAAGTGATAAAATCTATCATCAAAATATTGGATTCGATTTAACTGGTGAAGAGAGATATAATTTTTGGATCAAAATGATGCATATAACAAAGGTTGATCTCGGGTTTAGAGTGGATTTAGAGTGGATGTAATCGGACCGAAGGATTGAAAAACGATCCTAATTAATAAAAAAAAAAGATTGTTTTGATTTTTTTTTTGGGTTTGCACATTTAAAAGTTGGATTCTTTATATTTTACCTTATTCAATGTTTTTCCGAGTCTATTGCACAAATTATCATAAAGTTCATATAGCTCCGTTTAGTTGGGAGTTATGAGTCCAAATTTAAATATTTAAAATGGTTGGGGTTTTTATTCGAATAATTTTAGATTTGAATTTTTCATTTGAATTTTTTTTTTGTATCGGTTAAGTTCGATTCAAACTTTTTTTGTTCGTTAAAATTATATTTAAATTTAAAAATCCGTAAAAGTATGTTTTTTATTTGTTATTTACTTTATATTTATTTCCACTCAACTATAGTAAAAAAATATAAATCGAGGAACATTGATTTTGAATGATCATTCATAGTTAAATAATATAATATCTCTTCTAATATGAAATTGGTTGGTCGCTTTCTCTTGAATTGAACATGAGCCTGCCTTTTATTTTCATTAGAGAAGACATGTCAAACAAAAAAAAAATGCAAAACGGTGGTCGATTTCAAAAAAAAAAAAAAAAAAAAAAAAAAAAAACGGGGGGGGGGGGGGGTCAAACTTCTGGAACTTGAATGAAATATGAATAAAATATTCATATTAATAAATATAAATATTAAATAATAATAATAAATAACTAAATAAAAAAACGAATTAAAAATTTGATATATGATATAAAAATAGAATAGCAAAAGGGCCGTTATATAGCAGTCGCACAGTTCCTGCGGAAGTTCGATCATCTTCAAATTGGTGAAATTGGAACCCAAATTTAGAAATCCATCTTTCTCTCTCTTTGAATTCAGTGCCAAAAGGGTTTCTTTAGGATTCGAAGAAGATATCAAAGAGATAACTTCGGAGATTCATCAATGGCGGATCCCGGTCCCGCCAGTTTTTGGACGCAAGCTAATGCCTTGCTGCGAAAAAACTTGACCTATCAGGTTGGTCTTTTCGTTTTCTTGTATGAAATCCGATATTATATGTCTCGATATGTGTGTACATGCGACGAGGAGAGAGGTGTGATTCTTTGCGTGCACGTAGAATTGTCTTCTTTGGGTTGGATTTATTTAGGGTTTTGGTTTTGGGATTCTGTTGTTGTGTATGGAATCCCCAAATCAGCTTGTTCACTGAATCAGTAAAACCCAACGGATGATTTATCGAGATATTGACCGAATTCTTAAGGTTTTCGTCGAAATCAACTGAATAACTTTAATACCCAATTGCTTGAATAGTTGGGGTTTCTTTACTTATGCGGTGATTAGCCTTTGAAATCTGTAATTTGAGTGGAACATACCTTACCTATGCCATAGTTGGAAACCACCTGTCATGTGTAGAGACATAAAGAAAACAGCTTTCAATCTATGTTTTAGTGAGGTTTCAAATCTGTCTTACTTCAGCTTTGTAACTGGGGATCGATGAGATCTTGTTTGTGATGTGACTGGTGTCTTGATCATGTGATGCAGAAACGGAACATATGGACCAACGTTCGACTCGTCATGATTCCCTTCTACCTTTGCATAATCCTGGTGGCCATTCAAATCCTTTTCGATACGCAAATAAACAACTCTACAGATAATCAATGTGGCTGTCAATGCGTAGATACAAATGGAGACGGTAAATGCGAAAAAACCTGCGGGATAGAGTATTCATCTCAGGATCAAGGAGCTTTTTGTGCCATCCCTAGCCCTCCAAGGTGGCCTCCATTGTTACGTATTCCTGACCCCAAATACCGTGCTGTTACCACCGATTTCATTTCCTACAGAGACCTCCCTGATGAATCGTGCAGACAGACGGGATCTTGTCCTGTAACTATGCTTATGACAGGGAACAACCGTTCCCTAGGACAAAGTATGCTACTTCCTTCTGTTTGTTATACTTTAGTTTTGTTTGCCGGTAAAACTTATTTTAGATGTTTTCTTCCAGCTTTGTCAGAGAAAATGTACAGTAACTCTTTTACAGTAACTCCCTCTGATCCATTGGGTAGTTTAGCCAACAATGTCCTGGTAATTCTTCTGAAGTTCTCTTTTCTTTTTATGTGAAATGCTAATCTCTCTCTTTATCTCGGCCTTTTGAGATTGTGTCTTATCATATTTCAGGGTTCAGCATCAAAGACAGACTATACCAATTATCTTGATCCGGGGATTGTCTCAACTCTTCCCATCTATAACATCCAACCCCAATGCAGTCCAAACTCCACATTTTCATTCTTATTGCAACAATCTTCTCTTCAGTTTCGGAAAGGTATTACGATTGATGACAGTTATGAAGCTAAAAAAACACGAGAAGTGTAATTTTACTTTATGTTCTCGTCATCTTAATAAGTAGCGCAATAGCATATCCTTACATGCGTATTTTGAATTTGTGAAATAAAACGTATTGTGCTTCCATCTGCTGTTTGATTCAAATATTTCTCTGAGGACAGATTTTTGCCACCTACTAACTTCATGCTTGGGTTGAACCTAGAGGTGAAATGTGTTCGAGGTTTGAATCTCTGGCGAAATGCCTCCTCAGAAGTCAATGATGAGATTTACAAGGGTTACTGGAAGGGAAATCCTGAGAGGAGGATAAATGAGATAGTTGCAGGTTGTGTTTGACTTTGTGACTCCATACATCTCTGCTAATATCTGCATGTGACCTGACAGTTCTCTCTGTTTTTCTGTTTCCTTAGCCTATGATTTCATGAACACGTATAGCAACGTCTTTAATGTGAGCATCTGGTATAACTCAACGGACAAGAATGATACAGTTAGAAGACCAATAGCATTGGTTCGGGTTTCCCGTTTGATCAATTTGGTAAGAGGTTCAAGTGACGTACTTAAAATAGTTCCCATGGTTCGCGTTTCTTGATTAAGACAAAGCTTGCAATTTTCCAACTGCAGGTATCAAATGCTTATCTTGACTTTTTGCAAGGCCCAGAGACAAAGATGCTGTTTGAATTTGTCAAAGAAATGCCGAAATCAGAGACCAAACTCCGTCTGGACATTGCAACTCTTATTGGCCCGCTTTTCTTCACATGGGTTGTTCTGCTTCTGTTCCCTGTAAGTTCTTTCTTCTTTCTTGGTAGACTGCTTATCCTCCTACAAGTACTTAATTGATAATATGTGATTGTCTGTAACTCTCCGAACAACATGAATTATGCTTTCATCAAGCCCAACCAGTGCAGGATACTTGATTTATAACACCAGCCATTTACTTGCTGACAAATCTGTTATGCAGGTGATCTTGACATCGTTGGTGTATGAGAAACAACAACGTCTAAGAATTATAATGAAAATGCATGGGCTAGGGGATGGTCCATACTGGATGATCTCCTACACCTATTTTCTTGCCATATCCATATTATACATCATATGCCTGGTTATATTCGGATCAGTTATAGGTAATGTATTAGCTTTTAATGCAGATTATACATCACATTTTTTTTATTTAGAGCAAGTATTCTTCTTCGGATTACTACAGCAGTTAGTTAATTGCAGGACTGAAGTTCTTCCGGCTTAACGACTACAGCATCCAATTTGTTTTCTATTTTATCTACATAAATCTGCAAATCTCCCTTGCCTTTCTAGTTTGTTCAATGTTTTCAAAGGTTAAGACAGCAACAGGTATGAACATTGCATTTCATTAATTTGATTAAGAACATGTTGGTGTCTGAAACGAATTAATCGATTTCCCTGTTTTACGGGTGAATTGTAGTTGTTGCTTACATACTTGTGTACGGAACTGGACTCTTGGGGGTCTTCCTCTTCCAGTTTCTCGTTGAAGATCCATCATTCCCAAGTACGCTAACAAGATTTAACTTCTAATAATACGATTTCCAAAGTATTCCATGCAGCCATACATGTAATTAATCTCACAACACTGACGATGGAAGAATGAAATCTATACTTTTTCAGGAGGCTGGATTATTGTATTGGAGCTTTATCCTGGCTTTTCTTTGTACCGTGGGTTGTACGAGTTCTCACAATATGCTTTCCAGGGAAACTTCAGAGGCACAGACGGGATGAAGTGGAACAATTTCAGTGATAGTGGGATGGATGACGTGTTTGCCATCATGATTGTTGAATGGTTTCTGGCTCTCATAATGGCATACTACATTGATCAGATTTCTTCATCTGGAAAAAGCCCTTTGTTTTTCTTGAAAAACCCTTTCAAGAAATCGCCTTCTCTACGAAGGCCTAGTTTTCAGAGGCAGGGCTCCAAAGTCTTCGTTGAGATGGAGAAACCAGACGTCATTCAGGAGGTAAGCAAAAAAGATTCACAATATTTTCTGTCTTGCTATTTCTAGTTCTTCTGACATTGTTTTTTTTTTCAGAGAGAAAAAGTTGAGCAATTGTTGCTAGAGACGAGCACAAGCCATGCTATTGTGTGTGACAACCTCAAGAAAGTGTATCCAGGTAGGGATGGGAACCCACCAAAAATGGCTGTAAGAGGATTATCTCTCGCCATTCCTGCAGGAGAGTGCTTTGGCATGCTAGGCCCCAATGGTGCCGGCAAGACCTCTTTCATCAATATGGTCAGTATGCATATGCTTCTTAATTCTTCATGGTAGAAAAATCTAGACTGCTCTCATAAGCTTACCTTCTGAAAAATATATCCAGATTTACACACTTACATCAGCATGCTGTATAAAGAATATGATGTTTCAGACTATAATCTTGTCAATTTAGGTATCTTTAAGAATGTAACAGTATGTTTTTTTTGGGGCTAGATGACGGGGCTTGTGAAACCGACATCTGGTGGAGCGGTTGTTCAGGGTTTGGACATTAGCAAAGATATGGGCAGAATATACACGAGCATGGGCGTATGCCCACAGCACGAGTAAATAAATTCTTGAAACGTTTGATTTTCTTCTGCACCGAGGAGTAATCAATGAAACAATTTCCATTCTCCTGGCCATTTCAAGTTGTCATCATTATCTCTCTCTTTTTTTTCGCTGCCTTGTTTCAGCTTGCTATGGGAGACACTGACAGGAAGGGAACATCTTCTATTCTACGGGAGACTTAAGAATCTCAAAGGCTCCACTCTGATTCAAGTATGACATCAATGTGCTTAAGCATGAACTTTCAATACAGTAATGACAATTTTTTTTCTCATTGTTATGCTATTTTGCATTAGGCTGTGGAAGAGTCTCTTAAGAGTGTCAACCTTTTCCGTGGAGGAGTTGCCGACAAACCCGCTGGGAAATACAGCGGAGGAATGAAAAGGCGACTAAGTGTAGCCATTTCGCTCATCGGAAATCCTAAGGTACATGCATCACCATTCTTCTTTTTTTTCCGTTTTTGCCCATGCATCTGATTTTAGGATTTGACTGAGGCAACTTCACATATTTTCATATATATGTTGGGTTTTCGACAAAAAATACTGGAGTGTTTATTATTTTGTTATTCTTGAAGGTCATTTACATGGATGAGCCGAGCACTGGACTCGATCCAGCCTCCAGGAACAACTTATGGAATGTCATCAAGCGTGCAAAACAAAACTCGGCAATAATCCTCACCAGTATTTCCCCTCCCCCCTCACTTCTATATGCAGGAGCCTAGTCGTTTTTGAAACTCGTATACGCAGTCCATTATCTATGTTTGCCTCGTTATTGTGAGCTAAGAGAAGCTTGTTTCCGAACATTTCAGCACACTCGATGGAAGAAGCAGAATATCTTTGTGACCGTTTAGGTATCTTTGTAGACGGAAGCTTACAGTGCATAGGAAATCCCAAAGAGGTGAGAGTTTTCAACTGTTTGTGTCCACTGGATTCAGTCTGGTTTGATTTGGTTGAACTTCAAAATGAAATTGTCTTGCGAATTGGCAATGGTATTGGCAGTTGAAGGGAAGATATGGTGGATCGTATGTCTTCACCATGACAACATCTTCGGAATACGACGAAGAGGTGGAGAAACTGGTCCAACATGTCTCGCCAAACTGCAGGAAGATCTACCACATTTCCGGAACTCAAAAGTTTGAGCTTCCGAAGCACGAGGTCAGGATCTCCGAGGTTTTTCAGGCTGTGGATAAGGCGAAGAATAACTTCACCGTTTTCGCTTGGGGACTCGCCGACACAACTCTCGAAGATGTCTTCATCAAGGTTGCCAAAGCTTCTCAGTCTTTCAATGTCTTTTCTTGATTCTGTTAAAACTGAAATCCCTCTCTTTTTTTCATACATATACATGTAATGTATGTATGTATATATACACACAGTTTAAACACTTCATGTAATTTTAAGTAATCTTATGTGAAAAGGAAATGTAATTTTAAAATTTTTAGATTTCAGACATAGCTATAAGCATACGTGCATTATATTATACACATTTATACAGATTTGGTAGAGGGTGGTTTTCTTCAACGTGGAAGATTAACTCAACCCAGAAGCAAGTAAATATCATTCGTGCCCCTTTGGTAACGTGCATTATGCACACATTAATCCAAATTAATTTTGTATTCAATTTCCTTTTCATGTTCATAAACACTTCCCCATCTCATCTCTCTCTCTCTAGGTGCTTTAATGGCGGATTCAGGTCCTGCGAGTTTCTTGACACAAGCCAATGCTTTGCTGAGGAAGAACCTAGTCTTCCAGGTTTTATTTCTTCAAATTTGCACTCTGTATTGCTCAAAAAGACAATTTTTTTGCAAAAGTATTGATCTTTTTCCCAGTTACTGCAGCATTAGTTGCTTGTTGCTTATTGCTTCAGCTTTCTCCCAACCATTTCAATGGTTATATATGTTAAACTACAAGAGTATCGATTTGCTTATAAGATGTTATGTGGAATTCTAACAGAGGAGAAACGTATGGACCAACGTTCGTCTCGTCTCTATCCCGTTCGTCCTCTGCATACTTCTCGTCGTTATGCAAATGCTCTTTGAAACCCAGTTCAACGATGTGTACGGGCAGTGCGGTTGTACTTGTAATGATTCCGACGGAGATGGAAAATGTGAGAAAAGGTGCGGTTTTCGGTATTCGACTTCAGTACAAGCAGCATTTTGTGCTATTCCAAAGCCACCGCAATGGCCTCCGTTGCTGCAGATACCTTCTCCTCGTTACAGAGCTGTGATGACAGATTCATCTCCAATGGTGGATTTGCCGAGTGAGTTATGCAGAAGAACTGGCTCTTGCCCTGCAACTGTTCTTCTCACCGGGAATAATCACTCTCTCGGCCAAAGTAATGATCCTTTCTGTTCTGTCTAAATCGTTCACTTCAGTTTCGTAATGGGTTGTTCAGGTTTTTGATTGATGTTCATGTCTTTTGCCAGTTCTTTCCGACAAAATGTACAGCAGCAGCAGCTTTCAATCGTCTGATATTACCGGCAGTTTATCCAGTTACGTCTTGGTAAGTCATGTGAAAAAGTTGCGTGTTTTTCTCGATAATTATGCCGTCTGAATCTGATTTTAACTTCTTGGAACGAGTCAGGGGTCGTCGTCTTTACCCGCATACACCAATTATCTCGACTCCGGTGTCATCTCGGATTCCCCGATCTATGACATCCAACGTCAATGCGCTCCAAATTCATCATTCTCAGTCTTGTTTCAGGATTCATCTCTATCATTTCCGAAAGGTAAAAAAAGATTTTCACTTTGGTAGAGTAATCTGATCTTGATATCTCATGTTCATGAATGGTTTACGTTCTTTTTTTTCTACCGAATCTAGAGGTAAATTGTGTACAAGGGTTATACTTGTGGAGAAATACTTCTTCTGACGTGAATGATGAGCTCTACAAAGGGTATCGAAAAGGAAATCCGGAGGAGAAGATCAACGAGTATACTGCAGGTCATCTTACATGAACTTTTCTTCGAATCTTGTGAATCTGAAACAAAATTTTTCATCATCAATCCTTGTTCTTGACGATTTCGTGTGGGAAAGTTTTTCAGCTTTCGATTTCCAGAACACGGATATGAACAATCTCAATGTGAACGTTTGGTACAACACGACGTACAAGAACGACACTGGGGGAAGGCCTATTGTTCTTATCCGAGTTCCTCGCTTGGTCAATCTGGTGAAAACTGTTCATTCATATCATCTAATGAACTCAATAGAAGATCATCTGTCATGAACATACGGAATTTACAGGTTTTCGTATATGATTTTTTCAGGCATCTAACGCATATCTTGAGTTCCTAAGAGGGGCAGAGACCAAGATTCTACTGGAGTTTGTCAAAGAAATGCCGAAACCGGAAACTAAACTGAGTCTGGACATTGCTTCTCTGGTCGGTCCACTCTTCTTCACATGGGTCATTCTGCTGTTATTCCCTGTAAGTTCCTGAATGTCTGAATCGAACATTTGAACATCATCTCTTGTTTCAGATGTTCTATCTCCCGTTTTAAAGTTCTTGAGTCTGGAAATAGGTGATCTTAACGACATTGGTCTATGAGAAGCAGCAAAGACTGAGAATTATGATGAAAATGCATGGACTCGGCGATGGACCATACTGGATAATTTCATATGCTTATTTTCTTGTTGTATCAATGCTCTACATGATCTGCTTTGCGGTATTCGGTTCAGTCATAGGTGATACGCAAGCCCATTGTTTGTACGCTCTTCGTATATATATACATATCGTTTGATCATTATTACCCTTCTTGATCTGAATGTTTTTACTTCACTGCAGGGTTGAACTTCTTCAGGCTGAATGACTACAGTATCCAGTTCGTGTTCTTCTCGATATCCATAAATCTACAGATTTCTATAGCATTTTTGGCGTCCGCCATGTTTTCAAATGTTAAGACAGCTACAGGTACAGTCTCATTCCATTCTGATTCATTTCTTCAAGCCACTAAAATGGTTAGAGTTTTGAACTTTGTTTGTGTGAATTCCCATGAATCAGTCATATCCTACATATGTGTATTTGCAACTGGGCTCCTTGGATTCTTTCTCTTTCAGTTCTTTTTGGAAGACACCCTCTTCCCAAGTAAGTTTTCCCGGAAAAAGATCTGTCGTTTCTTGCGTTTTGTCACCAGAGATGGGCATATATAACCTTTCTGTTCATCGAAATTCTTCGTGATGTGTATAGGAAGCTGGATCATTGTAATGGAGATATACCCGGGATTTTCTCTGTACCGTGGGCTGTACGAGTTATCACAGTTTGCGTTCTCGGGGAATTACCGTGGAGTGGACGGGATGAGGTGGCGAGATTTCGCTACTTCAATGGAAGAGGTCATAACCATAATGCTCGTCGAGTGGCTCTTGGTGCTCGTATTCGCCTATTACATCGATCAGATCACTTACTCGGCCAAACATCCTCTGTTCTTCCTACAAAATTTCCAGAAAAAGCATCACCCTTCTCTTCGAAACCCTGATCCGAAAAGACAAGCATCGAGAGACAAGCTCGTGGAAATGGAAAAACCAGATGTCAGACAAGAGGTAAAAAACTAAACAGAAGGATCAAAGGATCACACTTTATTCCATCTGCCATTGACAAGGCTGAGAAAGTTTGTTGATTTGTGTCAGAGGGAGAGAGTTGAGGAGTTACTGCTCGAATCCACCGAGAAATATGCGGTTGTATGCAACAATATCAGGAAAGTGTACCGAGAAAAAGACGGGAACCCTCCGAAATTCGCGGTAAGAGGCTTATCTCTTGCTTTACCTCAAGGAGAATGCTTCGGAATGCTCGGCCCAAACGGTGCAGGCAAGACATCTTTCATTAACATGGTCGGTAGTAGCAGTACAGAACGATATCCCTTCTCGAATGTATGCAGAAATTCAAGATTCTGGGATGACGATATCGATATGAACGAACCTTTTTCTGCATATATGCAGATGACAGGAATCATTAATCCATCCTCCGGAACAGCATTTGTACAGGGTCTCGGCATATTAACCGATATGGACAGAATATATACATCTATAGGCGTCTGCCCTCAGCATGAGTAAACCAAAAACGCGAATCTCTCTCTCCCTCTCTTGTTTTTTTCTTTCTTCGCCACGACAAAATCCATTGTTTTCGTTCCTTATTTTCGTTTTGTTTCCTCCGATTTGTAGTCTGCTCTGGGAAACACTGACAGGGAAGGAACACTTACTGTTCTATGGAAGGCTCAAGAATCTTAAAGGACTTGCTCTAACACAAGTAAGTTTGTGTCTATTGCACGGTCTCGGATGGGTTTTTTTTTTCTTTCACGTAAGCGTAATGAGAATAACTTCGTTTCTCCCTCGGATGAAGGCTGTGGAAGAATCTCTTCGAAGTGTGAACCTTTACCATGGAGGAGTTTCTGAAAAACAAGTCGGAAAATACAGTGGAGGCATGAAGAGACGGCTTAGCGTTGCGATTTCACTGATTGGTAACCCCAAGGTATGTTTTCCAGCCTCCAAATCTTTGACTAACACTTATTGTAATCAAGTTGTGATATAAAAAGATCTGAGAATACATATATATACATGTATATGTGAAGGTTGTATACATGGATGAACCAAGCACTGGACTTGATCCAGCCTCGAGGAAAAGCTTATGGGATGTGGTGAAACTGGCAAAGAACAAAGGGGCCATAATTCTCACCAGTTATTATTCCACTCTTCTTTCCTCATTCCTCCTCTTAACAAAATCCGCACCAGACTGAAGCTTTGGTTCTATATATACATATATGTATATGTCTCAGCACATTCAATGGAAGAAGCAGAAGTTCTATGCGACAGAATTGGAGTCTTTGTAGATGGAAGCTTGCAGTGCATTGGCAACCCTAAGGAGGTAACACACCACCATTCAACTCTCTGTCGGAAATGATTCTGGTATATACATATATATATATATACACATGTATATATTCACTCCACAGAGCTGTTCTCGTTGTTTCACTCAAGATCTCATCATAGCTTCTTGTGTTATGCGCTGATAGAGAAGAATGGATCTATGAACTGTTCGAAACTGTGATCACGATTTCATCACGGGCATGAAAAAAAACCGCGTTTTGAATCGTGGGTTTTCGTCGAAATCGATCATAGTTAACGTAATCCATCTCACTGAGTACTGAAATTCCTGTATTGAGATGACAGTTGAAGGGCAGATACGGTGGCAGCTACGTATTCACCATGACAGCATCGCCGGAACACGAACGAGAGGTGGAGAAATTAGTTTACGAAGATCTGTCGGGAAATGCGAAGAAGATCTACCAGATCTCGGGAACTCAGAAGTTCGAACTGCCGAAACAGGAAGTCAAGATGGCAGACGTGTTCCAGGCAGTGGAGAAGGCGAAGAACAGATTCCCCGTGTTCGCTTGGGGAATTTCAGACACTACTCTTGAAGATGTCTTCGTCAAAGTTGCTCACTCTTCCCAGCCGTTTAATGTATAAGAATAACGTTTAATTTCATAAAATAAAATAAAAAATCAAACTATATTGTGTAAATCTTATCTCGTGCTTGGAGAAAATAAGAAAATTAATTATATACTATCCAAATATATATATATATATATAATAATAATAATAGAGTTGAGAAATTATTTAAGATCAAATGATGAAGAAACCATGTGATTTTGTCTGGTTGGTTCTTGGTATTTGGATAAATTGGATGTGACACTCAAACTAGGTTTCGTAATGTATTATTAATTTTAATGATTTGTGTAGATGAAGCCAAATTTGTTCAGATGATATATTTTTTTTTAATGCGTATACTACCGCAATTATTTTTGTGTAATCCAAGAACATGGTGCATTTATTAAAATCTAAAGATAATATATTTAAAATATACTTGAGTGTGTGTATCCGTGTATTTTATTTTGATAGATGTGTATATATTACATAGTTTTTAACAAATTTGTATGGATAACTAGGGGTGGGCGTTTCGGGAAACGGTTCGGGTTCGGGACGGAATAGATCGGTTCGGTTCTTTCGGTTTTACAAAAATAGGTACCAATCGGGTTTTTTATTGTATTCGGTTCGGTTCGGTTTCGGTATCGGTTCGGTTCGGTTCCGGGTTTTATTAAAAAAATGTTAGATTTCCTTTAAAAATATTCGGTTTTTCGGGATTTTTAAAGTTCGGTTCGGTTCGGTTCGGTTCGGTTCCGGGAAAATTCGGTTCTCTAAAAATGGTACCGTTCGGGAAATAACAACGGTTTCGGATCGGAAAAAATACCGTTTTAACGGTTCGGTTCGGTCCGGTTCCGAAGAACCGAACCGAAACGCCCAGCCCTATGGATAACTACCACGAAGAAATAAATTAATGGTTTTTTTTCTGGGCACGAAAAACTGATATTTGTCGTATGTAACAAATTACTGAACATAAAAAAAAAAGATTCGTACTAACGTGTATTTGCACTTTACCCAAAAAAAACTTGCATTTGTAGAATTAAACGTAATCCTAGTTAATTTTTTTTATACTATTTTAATTTCGATCATTGTGTATATCCTTATCCGTGATAATTCCATGAAACAAATTAAAATAAAAACAAAATTTTGATTTGTCAGTAAACTTTTTTTTTTTTTATAAAAGGTGAATCTTATAATATCGCCAGAATGTGAAAAAAAAAATAATATCGCCAGAATGTGAAGGGAAAAAAACACTTTCATCGTTCACTAAAAAAAAGAACCATTTTCATCTAAAACGAAAAAAACATCCAAATGAAGGACTTTTCCACTTTTATGAAAAAAAAAAGTAAAAGAGTGCCGTCTCTCTCCCCACTTGCGCAAGTATATATATAGAGAGAGAGAGAGAGAGACCCAAGAACAGAACCGCGAGCTCTCTCTCACTCTAAGCTTTGTCTGTAACAATGGCGAAGGAGGTGTTGGTAACCGTGATGGTGATGTGGGTGGTGATGTACAGTGTGTGCAGTGAAGAAGACAGGAAGATCGGAATCTATGAGCTTAAGAGAGGAGATTTCTCTGTCAAATTCACCAACTATGGCGCCGTCATGATCTCCCTTCTCATCCCCGACAAGCACGGTCTCTCTCTCTCCTCTCTTTTTTAATTTCTTTTCTTTTTTATTCTTATATGGATAACGTTTTTGAGATTTGATGGCAAAAAAATACAGGGAAGGTCGATGACGTTGTTCTTGGGTTTGATTCCGTTGATTCCTATAAGGTATTTTCCTTTCGAAATCATTACAAATCAATGGTGAATTTCGTTTCCATAATGGGTTGCCTGAATTAGCATTCAATAATGGTAATTGTTATAATTATCATTATTAGAACGACACAACCTATTTTGGAGCCATAGTGGGAAGAGTGGCAAACAGAATCGGTGGGGCCAAATTCGAGCTGGAGGGTCATCTTTACAAATTAGTCCCCAATGAAGGACGCAACACCCTCCATGGTACCATATATACATATGTACATACATATATATATATATATATATATATACACAATTCGTGTATCGGTTTCATATTTTGTTAATGGGGGATTCTAAATTTAAATACAAGGTGGGAAAAAGGGGTTCAGTGATGTGATTTGGACAGTCCGAAGCTACAAACCAGACAGTCACGTTACCTTCACTTACCACAGCTTTGACGGCGAGGAAGGTGACAGAGAACACCATTCCATACATACACATGCATCTCTGTGTACATACACACACACACACGTATGTTATACACTATGAATATAAAACAGGATTCCCAGGAGACGTAGAAGTGAAAGTGACGTACATGATAATGGGCACCAACGAGCTGGGCGTGAAAATGGAGGCGAAGCCACTTAACAAAGCGACGCCTATCGACTTAGCTCTCCACACTTATTGGAACTTGAAGGGACAAAACTCCGGAGACATCCTCTCCCACGACGTCCAACTCTTCGCCTCCCACATCACCCCCGTCGACGTCCACCTCATCCCCACCGGTCATATCTCCCCCGTCGCCGGAACCCCCTACGACTTCCTCAGCCCTATTCCCATCGGCCGCCGCATCCACCAGCTTCCCGGCGGCTACGACATCAACTACGTCATCTCCTCCGGAGGATCTGGGGAGCATCTCCTCCGGAGGACGGCTGTCGTTTCAGAGAGTGTGTCCGGTCGGAGAATGGAGCTGTGGACGAACCAGGTCGGGGTCCAGTTCTACACGAGCAACATGTTGACGAGCGTACGAGGCAAGGGCGGGTTCGTGTACAGAAAGTACGGAGGATTGTGTCTGGAGACGCAAGGCTTTCCAGATTCGGTGAATCACGAGAATTTCCCGTCCCAGATCGTGAAACCTGGCGAGATTTATTTGCATGTTATGGTCTTCAGGTTCACTGCTCATTGATCCCTGCTTTCCTGTTTGTTTTTTAGGGTTTGGAGAATAATATTATCATCTGAATTGTTGAAAACCATGGATCTGAACTTTCCAAGCCCTCTTTTTTTTTTTCCTTCCCCAATGAGATATTATGACTTTCGAAAAAAAAAGGATCATGTCTGCATGAACATGAAGACTACTGAAGAAGTTACAAGACAGAGAAACAAGAAAGTTGTTTTTCGTCTTAACTCGAGATGATTACTTACAATTTCGTTTGTCTTTTTTGGCTAATGGGCAGAAGAATTGGTTGAAGAGGTCTTCTTGAAATCGATCTTGTCGACTTTGACCTCTCCATCAGTGAGCTCGTAGACATAGACCACAACCCGTTGGCCGTCGATGTCCATAAGAACAAAGCTAGGGTTGACATCGTAGTTTATGCTGCTGTGGGCTCCGGTTGCAGATCCCGGGTTTATCACGACGCCTCCCTCGTGTTTGTAAGCTGTAAACTGGTGGGTATGGCCCGTCACGAGAATGTCCACATCCAGTTGCCTCTGGAGCATGGCTAGTGAATCTAGATCTCCCCATGGGACCACCTGTCAAAATGCAGATCATAGAAAAGAGAAAATTTCACAACAGAGCCATTAATGGTGCAGCAATAGTCCATGGAGAAAGAGGAGAACAACATCACCACTGTTACTTTTCATTTTCACCTAAATATATAAAGCAGATGGTAAAGATTGCAATATTTGATGTAAGAAAAATCATCCCGTGGCTGTATGAATTCGTCTCATGCACAAAGGGATGAGTAAAACAAAACTTACTAGGCAAGAAAACACACTATAACAAGGTATGGCGGCGAACGCAAGTGAGACAGTGTTCTGGTCAGGACAATCCTATCAACATATGCAATAGCTGAAAGAAACTATCATATGCTGCTAGAAATGCTAACATCTAACACTTTCAGCTCATAAACATGAAGCCCAAGAAAGGAGGAGGAAGAACAGAAAAATTGAACCTGGTGGCCGTGACATAATCCCAGCTTGAATTGCCCAATAGTCAGTGTTTTGGTTTCTGGGTATCGTGTCTCTTCGTCAAACTCTCCACCGACTATATGCAAATCAGGACAGATGGTTTTCAAGTAGTCATGAACTTCCTAAAAAGGCCAAAAGATGAAAGATTCAATGTAAACGAATGTGGATCAACAAAGAATTCTCAAAATTGTCATCTATGCCATACCCATAAAAAATCAAAGCAAAAACTTGATTGGAATACTCAATTTTAAACATCTCCGAGCATAAGAATGTTAACCAACTTCGCATAAAAGCCTCCATAATGAGGTTGTCTATTAGTTTTCCATTCCATCCCAGCACTTCTACTGATGGAAAAAAAGAACCAGATTCTCCTTCCACTCTCAGCAATTACCATTCCAGTAAATACAGAGCAAAATGAAAGAGATCAGGGTAAATGAACATTTAGGCGTAAGGGATCATACAAAAGATCATGGCCAATCCAGAAATCTTCTGGATGAAGGAAAACAACAATAGATCCCATCATGGAAGATATCAAGGGGTGCGTCCGAGTTCAATCAATTCCCTGAATGGCTTCAGCCAAACCATTCCTAAGCAATGCATTAGAATAGATCCTCTCACTTAAACCATCTATTTTACTACATTTTCATCAAAACGGGAAAATTTCAAATAAACCAACAAAATATGCAAGAACCACAGAAGCAATCGCATTGCATAGAAAATAACCCCGAATCAGAATGAACTATAATGGGTAAGGAGATTTATAAATTGTAAAAACGAAAAACCCAACCTTGATGCAGAGATTTCCAGTGCAGATGATGTGTTGGATCTTGCCAGGAACAAGCATTGATTTGAACTTGGGGGGCAGATCAGGCGCTCTGTGAGGTACGTGTAGATCCCCCAAAGCCAGCACGAGCACCATTTTTAACAGTTCCTCGAAAGCCCTAACCCTGCTCAAAATCCCGACGGAGAAAGAACTTTCGAAGCTATGGACATCGATCAAACGGTAATTGCAGCTGAAGATCACGATTACAAATATCTGTAAAAGAAATCATAAACGAATATTACCAAACGGATTCTCTGTCTGGTTCGTGGGAATCTTACTCAGAGATCGCCCATGGAAGATCTTTTTGCTTTTTCTCCCCCCGCCCCTCTGATCGGGGGTTTTTAACACTAATAACCCACTTGGTTGCACCAATTTCACCATACACCACCCAACAAAAACCCCTCTGAACGCTTTAGGAAGCGAAACTAAACGCCGTCGTTTTACTTTTCTCTGCAACAACCGTACACAGTAGAGCTACCCGGAACAGATCGAATTGAACCGGACCGAAGACTTCAAAATTCCCGGTTTCAGTATGGTCAAAATAATTGGCTTTTGACTTTTAAGTCATGATGAGCCTTCCTGTTGTAACCCACATAATTGTTTTAAGGAAAAAAAACACAAATGACATTTTTTTTAAAATTATTTGATGGAAACGAGATTGCATAATTAATTACAAGGGAAAAATTTTCATTCATTAACTGTAAATCATTTTTTTTTCTTTTGATATCCTTTATTGGGAAAATAAAGTGGCATATCGCTGCTGAGTGCCCTCCATGTTTCCCCTTTTTGTTATTTAATTGGTAAAGACATGCAAGGGGATTTGCAGAAATAAATTTTCGGATTAAAAAAATTAGGACACGCACCCGATTATGAATTTGAAGAAAAAGCACATTTGATTTGGGTCCATATAGACGACGGTTATCGATTTATCAAAATTATATCGTCGTATTAATTAAAAAAAATGTAAAATGTAAAATGAAGAGAGAGAGAGTGACCAACGACCAAAGACACAAAAAAACAAAGACGAAAGAGCCACTCACCGAGTTATCAATCAAGACTTTGTCAACTGACGAAAAACTCATCCGATTAAGCCTCCGCTTCGGACTCCGAGTTCGCATCCCCATTCTTCTCCAGAATTTCTGGTTTAGGGTTTCGGTTATTCTTGTGATGGGAGGAACCAGACGACACAGATGGTTCTCCTTCCACCAACGCTCTCCCTCCTCTACTACCATCGACGGCGGTGGCGAAACTCCGACGGAGTTTCTCTGCCCCATCACCGGTCTCTTGATGTCGGATCCCGTCGTTGTTTCCTCCGGTCAAACCTTCGAGCGCCTCTCCGTTCAGGTCTGTCGGAACCTTGGCTTCTTACCCGACCTCCTTGACGGGACCCGACCCGATTTCTCCACCGTCATCCCCAACCTCGCCATGAAATCCACTATACTCAGCTGGTGCGACAAGACCCAGAAGGAGCATCCGCGCCCACCGGCTTACGCGTACGTTGAAGGTGTGGTTCGTGCCCGGATGGATTCTGGTTCGGGTACCCGGGTCTCCGAGCCGGAGATTTTGCCCCCGGTGGCTGAGAATTCGCCGTCGGACTACGATGCTCTGATGGAGGTGATCCGAGCTCGGTCCAGAAATTCCATGTCTTCGAGCACTTCCCTCGAGTCGGTGACCGTTGGTCAGAGCCCGGTTCACCCGACCCGGCCCCTCAGTCACTCCATGTATTCTTCTTCCTCCTCGTCGGATGTATTCGCCGGAGCCGAGAGTCCATTCCGAAATCCTAGCTCCTTCTCTTCCTCCGATTACTCATCTTCGCCGCCGATGTCGCCGGAAGAAGAAGAGATCTGCAACAAACTGAAAAGCACCGACATATTTGACCACGAACAAGGACTGATTCTGCTCAGGAAGCTGACGAGATCCCGCGAGGATAGCAGGGTTTCGCTGTGCACAGACAGGATTCTCTCCTTCCTCAGGTCTCTGATCATTTCCCGGTACAACCTCGTACAGACGAACGCCGCGGCGGCGCTGGTGAACCTCTCCCTGGAGAAACCGAACAAAGTGAAGATCGTGCGTTCAGGATTCGTCCCTCTCCTCATCGACGTCCTGAAATCGGGGACACCGGAGGCGCAAGAGCACGCCGCCGGTGCGTTGTTCAGTTTGGCGTTGGAGGACGAGAACAAGATGGTAATCGGAGTCCTCGGCGCGGCGGAGCCACTCCTCCACGCGCTCCGATCTGCAGAGAGCGACCGCACGCGCCAGGACGCGGCGCTCGCGCTTTACCACCTCTCGCTTATCCCGAGCAACCAAACCAAGCTCGTGCGTTTAGGCGCCGTGCCCACGCTGCTCTCCATGGTCAGATCCGGCGAGTCGGCGAGCAGGAACCTCCTCGTGCTCTGCAACCTCGCCGCTTGCCCTGACGGGAAAGGCGCGATGCTGGACGGGAACGCCGTCGGAATCCTAGTCGGAAAACTCCGGGATACGGCAGAGGCGGCGGCGCGTGAGAACTGCGTGGCGGTGCTGCTGACGCTGAGCCAAGGGAACCTGAGGTTCAGGAGGCTGGCGAAGGAGGCAGGGTTGGAGGAGGTACTGAAGGAGGTGGCGGAGGAGAGAGGGAGTGCGAAGCTGAAGGAGAAGGTGGAGAAGATTCTGGAGACGTTGAGCGGCGCAGGAGACAGCGAGTACGGCGGAGGCGCGGAGGCGCGTGAGTGGAACCGCATGCTCGAAGCGAGTGGACTCAGTCGTAGTCAGTTTCAGGCGGGGCAAAACGGGGTTTTCGCCCAGACCTCTCAGTTTTAACTTTTTTTCGCTTGTGTTTTTTTTTTTTGTGTTCGGCTGGGTAAAAATATTTTCTATGGTTTAATTTAACATCATTATTATAAAAAAACAAAATTTGTTGTAATTATGCAAATGATTCGAATTGTGATATCTGATTTTGTGCGATTTTATTTAGAATGTTCGGATAATACTTTGACTTTGACATCAGATTAACTATTGATATGAAAATAGAATTCCTTTGTAGTTAATAATGCCCTTATATTCCTTACTTTATTATTTCTATTTATGGTATTCGGTGCAGTTACCTGGTCTGAGATTTAATGAAGTCTTAAATCTGTAACAATCGATTCTTTCTTCTTATAAAAACTTACATCTATATATTTACACGTTTTATTAGCTATTGGTTGCAATAACCAAAGAGATTCACGAATTTTTGTAATCCCAATCCGCCCGTTTTTTTCCTAAAAATTAATTTGACCGACGTCTGCATTTGTTGTTACATGTATTTACAAAAATATTTTAGAGATTATAATATGGAAAACAAATATAATATTGCAATTAGATGAATAATTTATTAATTATAATCGAACCGAAGGGCCGAATGATTGTGATTCGATTATGTATCATCCCGTTCAATTTGATTCAGATTAAATCGAATCCGGTTCAAATCGAAACGAATAAAAATTTAATTTTGAGTTCGAATTAAAATAGAGTTTGACTTAAATCGAAATAAATTCAATATATAATCTAATATGTAAAATCGGAATATGCAAGTTTTGGGGTGAATTAGGACGAGATTTTCCGCAAGATGAATCTTGATCGGTCAAACCGGTGGAACAGAGCTGGCTAGGACGAGCCCATCCCCGAGATAATGAACAAAGCCCATAAGAGGAAACGCCCTCACCCACACGACGGCGACTCCAAATCGCCGGCAGTTAAACCCACCGTCGACGGTAGAGGCGGGGGGGGCCCGCACCCGCCCCATCCCAAGCCCACTCCCG